ATTCTTTCTGTGCTTGACAAAATTATGGATGAAGAGGGTAGCTCTGCGGTCCTCCTCTCCAATAAGTGCATATCTGCTCACGTTATCGGTTGCCTACTTCAACACACCTGATGTCCAGAATCTTGGGACAGTTTTTATAAAAAGTAGAAAAAGCTACTACAGAATATCAGCTTATTCTTTCTTAAGAGAGCATTCATACTGCATTGTAGAAAACCACCTATGCTTGTCCAAGGATGAAAATGATTGGGAGATTTTTTGCGAGTATTTCACTGATGAAGTCTCGTTTGCATCTCAGAATTCCCACATTCACCGAAGTCAAGCATCACTGGCTGCGTTCAGTGTGCGGTCACTTGGTTGTTGTTGTTAATTTACGCCGCACTAGAGCTGCACAATGGGCTATTGGCGACGGTCTGGGAAACATCCCTGAGGATGATCCGAAGACATGCCATCACAATTTTGATCATCTGAAGGGGGGATGGCACCCCCGCTTCGGTAGCCCGACGACCTGCACGCGAAGTCGTGCACTTTACGGTAGAACAGTTTAACGAGGACCCATACCGCACAACCTCGGTCCCTACGCAGACTGATCCAAGTGGTCACCCACCCGCACACTGACCGCAGTCAGTGATGCTTGACTTCGGTGATCTGCTGGGAACCGTGTCTTAACGATCAGTCCACTGCGGGACTAGGCCACTTGGATCAGTCTGCGTAGGGACCGAGCGTGTGCGGTATGGGTTCTCGTTAAACTGCTCTACCGTAAAGTGCTCGACTTCGCGTGCAGGTCGTCGAGATACCAAAGCTGGGGTGCCATCCCCTCCGCAGAGGATCATAATTGTGATGGCACGTTTTCGGATCATCCTGAGGGCGGTTTCCCAGACAGTCGCCAATAGTAAGGGTGATTGTGAGCCCAAGTCAAAATTCCGGAAAATTTCTTAAGTAACAAAAAAATTTAAATCGAAAAATTAGAAAAAAATTTAAACAAGGTTTTTTCTTTTTTCTCAATATTTCTTAGTTTACTTAAAATATATTTAAAATTTTACACATATCTATGATGACCTGGAGAAGTAATTGAAATTTACAAATATGTCTTTCTTTCTTGAGTTTATTATAACTATTTACTGATAAAAAATTAATATTAATCTTGAATATAAGCTTATGAAGTATCTGGCTCTCCCTTACAAACAAATAAAATAAACTGTGTTTTAAAGTTCCACCTTTGAAAATTTGATTTCCGGAAACTTTTGTGATCAATGCTTTTTTTAAACGTCTGAACATTCGATCTCCGGAAACTTCCGGATCACGGTTAGCGAAAAATATGGATTTTTTCCGAAACACTATCAGCACTGCAATAGCCCATTGTGCACCTCTATTGCGACGTAAATGAACTACAACAAATAGACCAATTTATCATTTTCGACTCAAGTGTTTCAGTTGAATTGAAACTTATGAGATTTCCCATCATGCATTGCAAAATTTACAATTTCCTCTGTCTTACAACAGTCGATGTTGCACTATGCGTCACAAAGTGCTATCGGAGACGGTCAGAAAAACAACCCTGAATATGATGGCTCTCCCGCTTTGTAGCCCAACAACCTGAGCGAGAAGTCCAGCACTTTACATTAGAACAGTTCCAGAAAAAAAAAAACGATACCGCTTACCCTTCCATCGCAGACTGATCAAAGTGGTTAGCCACAGTGTTGAAGAACTTAATATTTTTACGGGAACATAAGTCATTGCATCGTGAGAGGGACAGAAAAGGATTGACTCTTTAAAATTATAAAAAAATGACTTTTGGTCAATGTAATTACCGAATCATCTGAAGTTATCCAAGTTTTTCTTGTACTCCTGCTACCCTTTTTCTTTTATCTTACTATAGATTCTGTAATTTGCCTCTCCATTTATCAAACTAAATAAGAAAACAAATACATAAATAAAAAATGTAAATTACTTTTATCTGTATTTATTTTTTACTCCTTAAAAGAAAAGAAAAAAAATTTACAACAATGGGCTATTGGCGACGGTCTGGGGAACATCCCTGAGGATGATCCAAAGACAAGCCATCACAATTTTGATCCTCTGCAGAGGGGATACCCCGCCTCGGTAGCCCAAAGACCTGCACGCGAAGTCGAGCACTTTGCGGTAGAACAGTTTAACGAGGACCCATACCGCACACCCTCGGTCCCTACGCAGACTGATCCAAGTGGTCTCCCACCCGCACACTGACCGCAGCCAGTGATGCTTGATTCGGTGATCTTCTGGGAACCATGTCTTAACGATCACTGCGGGACCATAACTAGTAGCAAATCAAGTAATATAATCCAGTAATCAAGGTAAATTAAAACCAATATGAACATGAATGCAAACGTTTAGATCCCTGTTATTTAAAAAAAACTATTTTATCACATACTTCAAAAATATTGTGTATCACTAGTATCAACAATACTGTATTAAGTCAGATGACATTTCTGAGAAAAACTCTCATTCCATTATACTACAACAAAAAGGTTTCTCACCAGTGAAAACAAAAACAGTAAAGTTTTTACCTGTCTGAATAAAACTACAATAAATTAGATGGACCTTTAGCGGAAAAAAAAGAGGAATCTTTTAACATTAAACAAGAATATGGCTTTTAAAAAGCGTGAACATAACTGTAATTAGTTAGATAATTCTTTTTTGAAAAAGCTTTAGCTATTAAAACCCCTGCACTCTTGCAAGATTATGTATTTTACAAGGCAAAAGAAGCATGTTCCGCAAATGCAAAACAATTCCAAAGGGACCCTGTAACATTGGTAACTCTAACATCACAAGAAGCAAATTTGTGACAAAGAGCCATAGATGAAGAAATTAAAAACTTACGTAGTGCTCAAATGTGGGAACTTGTTACCAAACCACCAAATGTCAAGTTTATCAAATCTAGATGGATATTTCGGAAAAAGAACGCTTAGACAGGAGATTGTGATAAATTTAAAGCTAGACTGGTAGCAAAATGTTACATGCAAGTCCCTGGAATTGACTTTCAAGAAACATTCTCTCCTGTGATCAAATTAAAATTTATCAGATCTTATTGGCACTAACTGTGGAATTCGAAATGAATATTCATCAAATGGATATAACTGCTGCTTACCTAAATGGTACTTTAAAAGAAGACATTTACATGAAACAGCCTAAAGGAGCCATAGTGGCAGGCAAAAAACATCTTGTCTGCCACCTTAAAAGAAGCCTATATGGATTGAAACAATCTGGAAGAGAGTGGAATGCGTGTCTCGACATCTTTTTGAAAGATTATGGCTTAACACGTTCTAAAAGTGATCCATGCATTTACTATCATTCAAATTAAACACTTTACCATGGCATATATGTTGATGATATGCTTATTGTTGGAAATCCAGAAGTCATAGATATGTTTAAACTTAAGGTTAAACAAAAGTTTAGAGCAAGAGATCTTGGAGAAGCAGGTGAAATTTTATTGATGAAAGTAAAAAGGTATGCTGATGGATCTTTAACCTTAGACCAATCATCCTATGTTGAAGAAGTATTGAAAACCTGTGATGCAACCTTACTCAGAGGATCATCAACTCCCTTAGACCCTAGCGTTAAACACTATAAGTTAACCGATGATGAGTGGAAGGAAACTAAAGAAACATCGAACAAAATTCCATACAGACAGGCCATAGGCAGTTTACTGTACCTTGCCTGTGGTACCCGCCCTGATATTGCTTATAGTTCAACTTATATGAGCCAGTTTAACGAAAGATATTCTGAAAACCATTGGCGAAGTGTCATACACTTATTCAAGTATCTTAAACATACAAAACATCTTTGTTTGACATATAGAGAAACTCGAAAGAAGCTAGAAGTTTTTTCCGATGCAGACTGGGCAGCAGATTGCATTGACAGAAAATCATTTAGTGGTTACGTGGTCATTCTTGGGGGTGCTGCGGTGTCTTGGACCAGTAAGAAACAATATTGCACTGCATTGTCTTCTGCAGAAGCTGAATACCTGGCAATGACCCATGCCAGCAAAGAAGTATTGTGGACAAAGAGTTTACTGTTTGAGCTCGGTAAAGAAATGTTGTACCACCTACCATGCTAATAAATGCTGATAACCAGGCAGTTATGTTCATAGCTAAAAATCAAACTACATCTGATTGGAGAAACACAGAGATCTTAGGTATCATTTCATACGTGACAATGTAGATCAAAAAATTTTTGAGTTTCAATATATTAATTCACTAGGGATAATGTAGCTGACCTCTTAACAAAAAACATTTCGAAGACTCAGTTAGGTCTTATAGAATAACTGTGATATATAATGTATATGTGTAATGATCATTCCCGTGCCCCGGTAAGGGGGAGTGAAAGTTATATAAAACACCAGAACAGGGCATAAGGCATATTTTTAGCCAAATATTGTACACATAAAGTAATGATTAATCAATAAAACCAACGATGATAGAATCAACCAACCAGGTTACTGCAAGTTATCTAAATGATGTATTGCCTTATTTGTTCATCTGTTTTTGGCAACAGTTGTTGTTGTAATTTTAAAAAAATATCAATAGAAGCGTCTTTTTTTTCAGACAAAGTTTTTCTCATGTTATAATCTTTATTAAAATATTTCCTTTCTCAAAATGATCCGTTTATTTACAATTATAATTTAATTTCAAACAATAAGGTTTCTCACCAATATGAGCCCAATTGTGGTTTGTCAAACAAAATTTTCGTGAAAAACTCTTATAACATATGTAATACAAGAATAAGGATTCTCACTAGTATGAACATGACTGTTTTCTCAAACTACCTTTTATTGTAAAACATTTATTACATGTACTACAAGAATAAGGCTTCTCCCCAGTATGAACATGATAGTGTTCATTCAGTTACACTCCTTCTGAAAAACTCTTATTACATATAATACAAGAATAAGGCTTCTCACCAGTATGAACAGGACAGTGTTTTCTCAGATAACTTTTTAGTCAAAAACTTTTATTAGATTAACTACAAGAATAAGGCTTCTCACCAGTATGAACACCACTGTGTCTATTCAGATGCGCACTTTGAAAAAAACTCTTATCACAAAGACTGCAAGAATAAGGCTTCTCACCAGTATGAACACGACTGTGAATAGTGAGATGACTTTTTCGTGAAAAATTTTTGTTACATATACTACAAGAATAAGGTTTCTCACCAGTATGAACAAGACTGTGTTTATTCAAATGCTCCCTTTGAGAAAAACTCTTATTACATATTTTACAAGAATAAGGCTTTTCGCCAGTATGAACAGTACTGTGTTTTATCAGACTACCTTTTAGTGAAAAACTTTTATTACATATAATACAAGAATAAGGCTTCTCACCAGTATGAACAAGACTGTGTTTATTCAGATGCTCACTTTGAGAAAAAGTCTTATTACATATACTACAAGAATAAGGCTTCTCACCAGTATGAACACGACTGTGAGTAGTAAGATGACTTTTTCGTGAAAATTTTTTGTTACATATACTACAAGAATAAGGCTTCTCACCAGTATGAACAAGACTGTGTTTATTCAAATGCTCCCTTTGAGAAAAACTCTTATTACATATTCTACAAGAATAAGGCTTCTCACCAGTATGAACACTACCGTGTTTTTTCAGATTACTTTTTAGTGAAAAACTCTTATTACATATACTACAAGGATAAGGCTTCTCACCAGTATGAACAAGACTGTGTTTAGTCAGTGCACTTCTTTCTGAAAAACTCTTATTACATATTCTACAAGAATAAGGCTTCTCACCAGTATGGGTATGACTATGCTTAGTCATATTACTTTTTTCTGAAACTCTTATAACATATACTACAAGAAGGTTTCTCACCAGTATGAACACGACTTGTCAGATTACTTTTTTGTGAAAAACCCGTATTTTAAATAACTACAAGAATAAGATTTTTCACCAGACTGAATTTTAGTGTTTAGTCGGTCTTTTTCCTGAAAAACTCTTGTTAGTATAACAAGAATAAGGTTTACTTACAGGGTGATAATTATTCTGAATTAAATTAGATCTTTAATAACATGATACAAAAAAGAGCATGCTGTATCAAGTTTTTACTTAGACTGAGTTTTTAACTAAGTAAAATATAATAGTGTAGAAATATGATCACCTTACTGCAGGCATATGATTTCTGTGCATCTGTTGAGATCTATTGCATCTGTGATATTCTAGATGCATCTGTGAAAAAATTAATTTAAATTAAATTGAGATATAAATATTTTCTATTTTTCTCAATTTACTTTAATAATTGTTGAACATACCAGATACAAAACTAAATTATTTCACATTATGTTTTCTTATCACGAGTAAAATTAATGTTATTTGCTATTAGGAAGACATATTATATAAAAATGAACATGAACAATGATATTAAATGTTTTGAACATGAAATTATTAAATTTGATTTCATTAGTAATTTATTCACACAGACGCTGCAGAAATATAATTCATTATAAATGAAGAAAATCAAAAGAAGAAAAAAATTCTTTTTTTACCTTCACAAACTTAAAAGAAATATGAGAAGGCCAAAAACGTTTAATTCTATTAAATTGCCTTAACAGAATACAGAAAATATTTTCTCAGTATGAACTGGAAAATCACAATATAAATTTCTTGTGTATAAATGTCAAATCATATGTGTTTTATGAAAGTGACAGACATCTTAATTATCTGCAACTGTTTAATAATGCACTGCATGAAAAGCCCGTTTAAAGTGTTACTTAAATCAAATTATTCTTTTGATCACAATGACTGCTTAAATAAATTATTTTCATATTATGAACTCAAAACAAGTAAATGAAACTACTTCTTTAGGTACACTTTTTAGAACCGAAGTATAATGTTTCACAATAAAGTATAATTATGAACTACTCCTGGAAACTTATGAACACACAAACTACAAACATTAAATTTCCATACGTGTAAATATTTTCCCGTCAGAACATCATTGCAACTATGACACACATTGCACAGATAGTATTTGCTGTAAGTATCACAACATAGAATTTTACTGGGAACATAGAATGAGATTGCTTTTAATATTGTTGCCTTTTGCCAGAAAGAAACGACACACACTTAATGAATAGTTTATTGATGATATAAATAGTACAGAAAACACTGTCCTTTTTTTAAAAAAAAAAATGCACGCAAAATATGAATTTTATTTACTGTCAGCAAGAAGATATTTTATCATTCACATCTATTTTTCTCTGCATAAAGAAGATAATATATGAATTAGATCTGCGTGAAAATAACGTTTCTAAAGCGCTTTCTATATTGTTTCCATTACTACGATGGTAATTCACTTTACATTTGAATGATTATGGATACACAGGCTTATAAATTTAAGCCAAGTAGGAACAAATCAGAAGCAATTTTTTTAAAGCTTTTCTTTAGACAAATAGGGTTAATTAATGTCGTCTATCGGTATAGGTAAGAAAGTATGGTATAATAGTTTATCTCAGCAAAGAATTATTCAACAAACAAGTGCATATTTGCGGTAAGAGTTGTTTACGTTATCGGTTGCCTACTTCAACACACCTGATGTCCAGAATCTTGGGGCATTATTTTACGAAAGCATTTATACTGCTTTGTAGAAAACCGCAACTGCGTTTCCAAAGATGCGATTGAGAAAAGGATAGGGAGATTTTTTGCGAGTAAATTATTTCACTAATGAAGTCTCGTTTGCATCTCAAAATTCACACCCATGAGTTTTTAGCATGCACTATTTTTATGTCTTGAGGGACTGTTCCGTATCTGTAAATTACGCTCTTAGTGATGGAGCATCTCCCTATGGCGCACTGTAATTACGCCAACTTAGCAAGCAGTCTATGTTTTTGTACGCCATTACAGTCCATTCATCTACACCCGAAAAGGAAAACGCTAATAAACTCATTTCAATTTTAAAAAAAAGCTTACTCTTCATTTATGCTACCTCCGCACAGTTTGGTCCGTCGAGCCGGAGGTGATCCAGATCCTATGGAATATACGGAATACTTAACTCTTTATGATTGAATTTAATAACTAATTCATTCCAACAACAAAATATGGCAAATATAATAGCGCTAAACCGCAAGCGGGGCAGCATAAAACGCCAACTGACGAAATTAAATAATGCCCTCACAGAAAGACAAGACAATATGGACATTTCTGAGCTCCTGGCTCAATTGGATATTGTGCTTAGTATCCGACAAAAATTCGAAACGCTAAAAGATGACTACTACAAAATCGTAGAGGAAAAAGATTTTCAGAAAGTCCAGGTCTCTCTCTTCGAAGTGGATGACGACATTCAAAAATTAGAGGTAACTCAAAACCTCTATTAATTAAAAACTATAAACATTGACAATGCGCAAAATCAAAGTGGTGATAGTTCTATTATCACTGATCAGCCTAAAAAAGCGTTTAAACTTCCGAAAATCCCATTTCCGTTTTTCAGCGGAAAATTCGAAGAATGGAACTTGTTCAAAACGCAATTCAATAACCCAATTAGTGAAACTCTTGAACTTTCTGACCATGAAAAACTGCATTATTTCTAAAATCATAGAAACTGTTAACGATTACTTTCCTTCTCTATTTAAAGCAATAGAACAACGCTACGAAAACAAAAGAATAATTGTTGACTGTCACATCAAAAACATTTTAAATAACCATCCCTTAAAGCATGAATCAGGCAAAGATCTTCGTAATATATTGGATAACATTTTGAAGAACCTCAGATCATTAAAAATCTTTGATTTCGAACGAGATAAATTATTCAACTCTTATTATTAAATATTGAAACACAACGATATGCCTGAATTTGATAATTTTCTCGAATTCTTAGAAAGGAGATGTCAAATTTTAAACAATATTCGAACTAACATTCCATCTAAATTTAATCCCGATACATCGAAATCTTTTTTTGTCAAAACAAACAAATCTCCTAAGATGTCCTAAATTGTGTATCGCTTATAAAATACAAACACGTGCAATATCATTGCAATGCATTTAAAGAAATGAAGTTATGCGAAAGGTTAGATTTAGTTACAAAAGAATCGCTTTTGTAAAAATTGTTTAAGTGATTTTCACCTATTATCCAAATGTAACTCTAAAGGTTCTTGTTTCGTTTGTAAGAAAAAATTAAATCGTCACACACCGTCAAACATTAGTCAGTTTGATGAACACAGCAATAATATAGGTCAGAGATGTATGGGGATATAATTCAAACCCTGAAGAGGCGTCCTTTGACTCAGCTAGCGAGAGTTTTTTCCTCTCCTCTTTCGCAGCAGACTTCTTGGGATTGAAAAAAGAAAAAATAATCACTCCGGTTTGCGGTTTGAATGATAGATCATTAAATATAAAGAAAAAAGTATCTGCTTTTTTATCGAATGAAAATAAGGATTCGCATAGCGAAATAGATTTATTAATTGTTCCCAATAAAACAAATTTCACACCTTCTAAAAAATTAAATGCTTCGAACTTAAACATTCCCAGGGAAGTTAAATTAGCTGATCCATCATTTTTTATTCCTCAAAAAAATAGACATTCTATTAGGCGTAGAATTATCTTTTCATTATTGAATGACGATAAAATGAAACTGGCAGACAGCTTATTCTTTCAATCAAGTTGCTTCGGTTATCTTGTTTCAGACAATAATTTTTATAACACTCCAAAACATTGTTTTTTTAACTAGAAACTTAAACATTCTTCATAAAACTCTCAAACACTTTTGGGAAATCGAAACAAACGAAACTTGCAGAAAGTATTGTGACGAACATTTCGCGAAATCGTATTATAGAAAACTGGATGGTAGATACGTTGTAGAAATGCCATTCAAACTTGATTTTTCCGAAGAAATGCTAGGAAATTCTTAGACAGTCGTATCAAAAAGACTAGATCAGTTATGGACGCATTTAGAACGCGATCCCGCCATGCAAACGTTTTATTCAGATTTCCTCAGCGAATATAAATTATTACAACATATAGAAGAGGTGAAGGAAAATTCAGATGTCGAAACTGGATACTATCTACCACATCACGGTGTGTTACTCCCATCAAACAAAACTACTAAACTTCGTGTAGTTTTCAACGCGAGTTCAAAAACGTCTAGTGGACATTCTTTAAATGATTTACTGTGCAAGGGAGGAGTGCTTCAGGAAGATCTTTTACCGATCCTAATTAGATTTAGAAAACACGCTTATGCTTTTACAGCAGATATAAAACAAATGCTCAGGATGATAGAGGTAAATCCTTCGCAAACCAAGCTTCAAAGAATTCTATGGAAGAACAGTAAAACCGTACCAACTAAGGTTCATGAGTTGCGAACTGTTACATACGGAACCGCATCCGCTCCATACTTAGCAACAACTTGCCCTAGATGAGCAAAAGGACTTTCCTTTAGGGTCAAAGACAGTACTTCAAGATTTCTATATGGATGATTGCCTCTCTGGTGCTCCATAACTTAGCGAGTACGAAAAACTCAAATCAGAATTAACACAGCTGCTTCAACGAAGAGGCATGACTTTGCACATATGGTGCTCCAACAAGACTTCATCAACGAAACTTAAGAAATTCTCGCTTGACCGAAATTCTGATGAGATAATGGTCAAAACTTTAGGAATGTCTTGGAACAGTTTAACTGATTCATTTACTTATAAGGTTACCTCCAGATTACAACTACACCAAACGAGATGTGCTTTCACAAATAGCTTGTATCTATGACCTGTCATTGCCAAAGCTAAAATATTCATGTAGCAATTGTGGCTGTTGGACTGGAATGAAATACTATCTCCAGATGTGTCCAAACAATGGGAAAACTTTTCCAGATATAGAATCCATTCATGTTCCTAGATGTTTCATGCAAGGTTCGCAGTGTTGCACGGATTTGCAGACGCACCTTCAAAGGCTTATGGAGTAGTCAGGGCCGGATTAACCTATAGGCACGTGCCTACGAAAAACTTGGGAGAAAAAAATTTGTTGACAAAAATAATTTAGCTTTGAAAACAACAAGTGTATTTTGCACAAAATTATGAAGATACAAATAAAAATATAATATTTTTCGGTAATAAATTATTTTGCAGAATCTTATGAT